CAGCAGGGGCTTGTGAGTATGTTATTTGTGGATTGTAGGGTCCCATCCAGGCCAGGGGTAGAGACCTGGGCCCGAGGAGTGTCGTGAAATAAATACACATATGTATGGGCTGACGCTGCTGAGACTGGACTTGAAGTCCGTAGGAGAGCACTGGGCACTGATCTGAGCAGGTAGAGATGCCGTGAGTCGTAAGAGTCAGAGCGAGCTCATGGTAGCCTCCAGGGGCCCCGTCCTCCCCCTGCCTCTAAGCTTCAAGTACAACATTGGCCTCACGGGACGTGTTTTTGAGTTATCTGAAACAGGGTCTCCTGTCATCTATGATCCTCTGGGAGGGAGGTGGAACACTCCGTTTGCTCTTCTGCCCAGCACTGGCCTGAGCACCACTCAGTACACATGAACTGAACGGGGGTTGACTCAATGTCAGGCCTGCTGGAGGAAACCCAGTGTGGTAGTATAGCCCGCATTCCTAGTTACTTGCAGGATGAATTAGGACCGGAGGTCCAGGCCAGCCTGGGCTGGGCTGCGTAGTAAAATCCCATAGGAAGACAGATAGAATATCAGTCAGCCTACTGGAAATGTGTGCTTGCTTCCCAGCACAGAGAGGAGGCTGAGGCAGGGGAATCACTGGTAGATGAGTTTAAGACCGTCCTGGGTAATAATATATTGACACCAGTTGGGGGTGGATGAGTGTCTTATCTCAGAGAGCACTAAGAGAATGAGGCCAAGCCGGGCGTTGATGGCGCACGCCTTTAATCCAGCACTCGGGAGGCAGAGGCAGGTGGATCTCTGTGAGTTCGAGGCCAGCCTGGTCTACAAAGTGAGTTCCAGGACAGCCTCCAAAGCTACAGAGAAACCCTGTCTCGAAAAACCAAAAAGAAAAAGAAAAAAAGAGAATGAGGCCACCGTTTCTGCCCAGAAAAGCCTGGGGCATCGGTCAAAAGATTTGGGGTATCAGTTCGATGTAAGTTCAGCTCCCCGCCCTCAGCTGAGCTAATTTTGAAGGCTATGCTTGTGTCGGGGCTAATTCATGGCGTGTGTCTTGTATTGAATATTTGTGTGAGTACTGCTTTGTTTTGAGTGGCTTTGGTGCTAACATTAAATACCACAATGTTTGACTTACTGGGTCTGATTCTGTGGTGGGGATGGAAACCTTGCCCCTGCTGGATAAATACGCCATTAATGGGTGTATTCCTAGCCCCTGTCATAATAACACTGTATTCATTTTTGACTTTTGAGACAGCGCCTTACTAGGTAGCCCAGGCTAGACTTGAATGCAGACCTATCAGTGATTTCTGCCTGTGTCCCCACAGCTGCTGGTAGCACTGAGCTGATGTTCTGAATTCAGATGGGTTTTGAGTAGCTTTAGATATTTTTGCAGGGGTTATGCTATGTTCATTGTACACAGGTTTTCTTTGAAATAAAAGGAAAATTTTTTTGTTTTGTTTTCGAGACAGGGTGTCTCTGTAGCTTTTGGAGCCTGTCCTAGGACTTGCCCTATATAGACCAAGCAGGCTTTGAACTCACCTGCCTTTGCCTCCCAAGTTCTGGGATTAAAGGCGTGTACTGCCTGGCTTGTTTTGTTTTTTCTGAACAGGGTTTCTCGGTGTAGCCCTGACTGTCCTGGAACTCACTCTATAGACCAGGCTGGGCTCAAACTCAGAAATTGCCCATCTCTGCCTCCCTAGTGGTGGGATTAAAGGGGTGCGCCACCACTGCCAGGCGGATACTTGTTTTACAAAGTTTATCTTTTCCATTATATCGACTAGTCCTAAACTTAAGCAGAGACATCAGTCCATCTCCATTGGTAGATGTCATTATCCCGCTGGACTTGGGCCACCTGAAATAGTTCAGATGAAGTTAATCAAGTTTGGAACTCTGATTTTTGTAGTGTTTTGATATTATCCTATGAGTCATCTTTTGGCAAAGCAGTTCTCCATCACAGTGTTTGATCTGAGCGATTATGACCCAAACTGGTGAGGAGGTACATTTCAGAAATGCAGAGTCAACAGCCGTGCTCGTGTGTGGCTGGCTGTTTAAAAGCAGCAGAAAGCAGAACAAAGAGCAGAGTGTAATCAGAACTAGTCAGGGACTGGGGTCAGTCCCCGAGGCCACTGCCTTTCTGGAACATGAGTTTCTTCCCACCCCCTTCACCCCCGCTAATGAGTGCTGACATTCGAAAAAGAGGGAAAAGACAGCTTCTGTTTGCTTTGCTGTAAGTAAGTGGCCCTACCGCTGGCCGCCTTCCCAGTGGCCCTGAGAGTACCTCAGATGTGGTCAGTGAGGTATGTGCACGGTGCCAGCCTGCTGGCGTCACCCAGGCACCCTGCACCCGAACGGCCAGGCCGCTGCCCGCCGTGTGCCTTTGCTCTTCCTCTTGGTACCACCTGGTTGCTTTCTGAGGTGACGCTGATGCCACTCTGAAGACACGTGAGCGAGGGTTTCTGCTTCCTCTCTTGCCCTCGGATGTAACTGCTTGCAGTGGATGTTACCTTGTGAGCATTCAGGACCATCTGGGAAATGCAACTTGTAAAATGTAATCCAGTGCGGCAAAGGGCCAGACCACGGGGCACCATTCGTGCTAGGTTCCTTCAGGGTTCTGCCACTTTTGGACTCCAGAGTCGGCCTGTGTTTACACTTCTGCTCCTTTCCCCCAGCAGTTAAGAGAGCCTTCTCTAACTGGGTGTTTCTTCCTCCGAAAGTGATGGTTCTCACCATTCTCTCGGGTCATTCTTGGGAAGATGATGTTCATACGTGTAACATGTTTGATGGCTCCTTACACGTAGCAGGGTCTGTCACTGTTTAACCTTTTTCCCAGAGCTGTCTTTTGTAACATTCATGGTGAAGACTGAAAAATGACTGATACTTCCTGGACACTTGTCAAGTTGGTATCCCGGTGTGACAGAGGAAGGAGAGGCCTGTGCGCTTGGCCACCACTGCAGGACTGCTTGCTTCTCCAGGAACCTGCAGGCTGGCTTTCCCCTGCTGCCATGAGCCACTGGGCCTCAGCTAACTAACTATCTGTCATCACGTCCAGCCTCGGTGCCACTCTGGGTGCTGGTGCCCTGTCTTCTCAGGAGTCACTGGCATTGTCCAAGGGCCACCCAGAGAAATTGCTGTGACTAGAGTGGCGTGTGTCTGGGTTTCATGGGGTCTTGGGGAAGAGGCTTTCTGCACACCAGAGTACAGCTGCCACTCCCAGTTCCCAGATGCCAACTCCAGTGCCTCCATGACTCATCTGGTGTGCAGTTAGTTAGGAGCTGAGCTCGCTCACGTGGTGGCAGTGCGTGGGGACTGGCCTCTAGCTTAAGTGCTCAGACAGCGCTAAGGGGTCACTTAGAGAGGCTGACTTACCAGACCACAAACAATACCCTGAGCAAGTGATAATTGGGACAAATAAGAGTTGTCAGAGAGCTAGCCAGTGGTGCAGGCCTTTAATTGGGGGGGGAGGGATAGAGGCAGGTGGATCTCTGTGAGTTCTAAGACAGCCAGGGCTGCTAACACAGAGAAACCCCATCTCAAGAAAAAACAAAACCACTCCCCCAAAAATTGCCAGAGACATGGAGACTCAATATTTTCTTAAGCAAAGACACTCCAGAAATCAGTCTTCTACCTGTGCTCTGTGGTTTGTGATTTTCTTGGAAAGCCCAATGGCCTCGTGAATTTTCTGTCATGAATGTTGCCCCAACCATGAGCTTTGCAGATGCAGAAGTCAAGACCACCTGCTAGTGGTGTACTTTCAGACCGTTTGCCTAGCACCAAGTAAGTTCCTCTGGGGCCGGTCAAATACGGAGTTTGTGCTGCTTGGAACCTGGGGCTCGTTCTTGGGTGCTCATTTACCAAGTTATTTGTCAGTCTCAGAGTAATAGGATGTGCTTTAAAAAAGAAAAACCAAAAACTTGGGGCTGCAGAGACAGCTCAGGGGGTTAAGAGTACTTGCTATTCCCCCAGATGACCGGGGTTAGGTTCCCACCACCCAATTCAGGTGCCTCAGCCATCTGTAGCTCCAGGGGGTCTGACACCTGGCTTCCCCAGGAGCCTGCACTCACTGTACACACCTGCATGCAGGTGCACACACCTACCATAATTTTACGTCTTAATTTTGAAAACAGGAATATTAAGAGCCAGGAGCAACTGGCGATGCTCAGCTTTCCTGCCTCCGTTAGTCCTAGGGAAGAGCCTCTGCCCTGCGGGGCTAACTCACTGACCACGTCCTCTTCCTCCCTTGGTGTGCGGAGGCTAAGACTTAATGAGCATGCTTAGCAAACAGTAAAGTGCCCGTCCAGGTAAGTGCTGCCTAGAGCACCCAGAGCTGAGGCTAAGAAGCCAATTCCTGTGTCTCTGCCTCCACTCGGAAATACCCTGTGTGGTGTAGGCAAACTGAGACGCCCGATCGTCTCTCCAGGAACAGCAGCAGCAGAAAGCGTTCGTGTCGCTTCTGTTTCATCTGGACTTAGTTCTAGCCGTGTTGGGGTCTCCTTACATAAGCCTGGTGCCAAGATGTGGTTGGAACTTTTCCCTACTTCCTTGGTTCTTGGAGGTTGACATAGTTCTTGTATTGAGGGAGGTTTGTTTGCAGTGACCTGCCTTTCTGGTGAGTGAGTATTTGCTTATCGTTTCTGGCTGAAGCAGCCCTTTGAACTGATGCCTAGAATGTGGGCCTCCCACCCCAGCCTCTCCTCCAGGTCCCAACAGGGCCTTCTGCTGTCCTTTTCTGCCCACAGACGTTTTACTTGTCTCCTGTGGCCTGGGTCAGATCCACCACCACCACACTTGTCACGGAAATTTTAGTTGTTGTCCTTCTGTACTTGCCTTTCTGACTGCGTTTGTTGGATAAATGAGGAGTGTATTACCTTTCACTTGGCCCGCGTTTTGATTAATGTATTGTTTCCTAGAGGTGAATACAAGAAAAAAGACACTTTGGGTTTTCCTTGTATTTGAAGTGAGATCAGAGCCTTCATTATAGGAGAGTGGCTCTCTAACCTCCCTCTTCCTCTTCCCAGTGCTGCTGAAATTCCGCACAGATAAAGGGAGAGATCCCAGTTGTGATAGCTACAGCGAGGACGTGGAGCTGCTGCTGCAGATAAGAAATGATGTGCTTGACTCACTGGGCGTCGGTCCTGACCTGCTTCCCGATGACTTTGTCAGGTTGGTATCTGCGCAGACAGACTTCTGGTTTTGGTGTTTGTCTTCATGGAGGCCCAAAGCCTCAAAGGGGACTCCTGTGCCACATCTGCTAGCTGCGTAGCCACCCCCTGCCTGTGCTATAAGCAGCATTATGAAGGAAGTGAAGGCTTGTAGGTTTGGCTTTCGTGTGGTTGAAATGTAAGGTGCCGTGTGGTCTGTTAACATGATGTGTCCTTTCTGTCTCACCTCAGTCCTGAGGGTTAGTCCATGCATCGTTGCCTCTCCTGTCGCAGGTGGAGGACCCCAGCATAGGGAGCACTACATAAGCTTTCTGCAGCCCGTGCTCGCTGGCCTCGTGTTCAGTCTTAGCAGTGTAATGCGGTAGTGTGTCTCCTGGGGTCGTATGCTATCCAGATTCAGCCACAGGATGAATGAGCAAGTTGGGAGTTGCTGGGTCTAAAGGTATGATTGGTCACTTGATAGATATTGCAGTCGTTATTTGTCATCCGGCGGCAGATAGATATCAGCAGAGACCACAGATCCAGTCCCCGGGCTCTGGGAAGCTAGCGTTGGCAGTCTCCTGCTCCTGCACAGTCAGACGTGAGGTGTGTGCAGACCAGTGGCCCTGAGTTGCTTCCAAGTATAGCCTAGGAGTTGCGAGCCGTTGAGCTCATGATGTGCCTTAGTCCTCAAAGCGCTGCAGTTGTAAGTGAAGCACGGAGAAGCGCGGTGACTAGTCCCACGCCAGAGGGCTTTCTCTTCAGCGCTGTTTGTCACGGAGCTCTCTTGATTGTATATTATTTCCTCATTATTTAAGTGAAGATCTAGAGAGATTCAGTCACATGCATCCCTTCTGGTACCCTCTCTTCCTGGGCTCCTCATAGCCACCAAGCCAGCATCACTCAGGTAGGAGCACCATTGCTCTTCAACTCCCTGGGTAGGCATGAACTAAAAGGCTCCGAGACAATCTTCGAGGTACTTTTGCAAGGGTGACATTATCAGAACAGGCCTGGCAGTATTGCCAGGAGGAGCAGGTATCGCTTGCTCTGTACCTCGCAGCCTGAGGAGCACCCAAGCCCACCAAAGTGGTCAGCAGCAAGTTTGCTGGGCCGTGAACGCACAACCAACTGACTAATCTGAGCGTTTAGGGTGATGGACTGGCAGCAGAATTAAAGGCCCTTCTTCCCAGAAGGGACATGACCTAGTGGACTGCTGGCTGTCTCTTCTCTTCCCTGCTGTCCCCTGGGGAAATCACATCCCCTGTTTAGGTGCGGTGTGTTCAGCTGCTTCTCCTATTGGCTTCTAAGTAAGAGGTGTTCAGAGGCCTCTTGAAGCTGTCTGCTGGCAGGCTGGAGAATGGGACAGGGCTGCGAGGGAGGAAATGAGTCTCCCACTCTGGGCCGAGCTACCTCCTACAAATTGCCTGATACTGCTGCTGAGCAGGGACAGCTGTGCTTGCATCTCTGCCCTTCATCTGGCCTGCGCAGCTCAGCGTCTTGTTTGAGTGCTGGTTCTCAGACAGCCTTGTTTCTTTTCTGATGGGAAAAGAGCCGCCGCCGCCGCTAACGTCTTTTGGTCTGCAATCACAGGTGTTTTTTCTACTGTTTAACTATTAGGGTGGATAGTCTTCAGTTGTCTCTTTGCAGTATACCATGCAGTCATTCTCCACCTTATGTTCCTGAGACAGGGTCTCTCCCTGAACCTGGAGCTTGCTGATTGGGTTAAGCTAGCTGACTGGAAAACTCTGGGTGCCCAGCTTTCACATGGGTGCTGGGGATTAAACTCAGGTCTTCATGTTTGTATGCTGACTGTTAGAGAGCCACCTGCCTCTGCCTCCCAGTGCGGGCGCTACAGACAGCCACCACAGTCAGCCTGAAGCAGCACTACTTAAAGAGGAAAAAGCAAAGCAGTATGGAAGAATGTAGGTGTGAGTGGTTTTTTTTTAACAAGCGGGGTGGTAGCCCATCCTGTAACATCAGTTACTCAGGAGGCAAAGGCAGGAAGATCACAAGTTCAAGACCAGTTTGGACAACTTAGTAAGCTCTTGTCTCACAAAGTAAAAATAGCCTGGCAGTGGTGGCCACGCCTTCAATCCCAACAGTTGGGAGTTTGAGACCAGCCTGGGCTACACAGAGAAACCCTGGGGGGGGGGGGGGGGATAAAAAGACATGTGTCTCAGTGGTAGAGCTCCTGTGGCATGCCCCAGACCTTGGTTTAGTGCCCCGCACATAGAAACAAAGAAGAAGGCTGGAAGTGTATTCATACTCACTGTCAATCTCTAGTTCTCCTGAGGCTGAAGTGGGAGGAGTCTAAGGCTTGGGCCAGCCTGAGCTACACAGTCTTGTTTGTTTCCTTTTGTCAAAAAAGGAACATTGTTACAGCACCTAGTCATCAGGTTTACCTTATTATCCTCTGTGTGCTGCAGACCCTTCTGGAAGAAAATTTAGCAATGTATACACAATATGTAATCGTGTTCTTTTAGGAGACACCTGAAGCTCAGTTACAAGGTGAATGGTTCATGCATGGGCACATTGGGAGCCGATGCTGAATGTGTTTTGGACTCAGGATGGTGATTTGAGGGTTGACTGGGTCTCCTCTGAGAGCCCAAGCCAGGCCCAGAAGGAAGGAGCTCTTCCTAGGAGGTCATGCAGACTGCTGCACGCCATACTTCCCGTCTTGCCTGTGTTAACACAGCCTGCTTGCCCATGGTTCTGGGAATAGCATACAGAAGCTCGAGGCCCGTGCTAGAGGAGAATTGCGAGAATGTCCTGGGGCACTCAACATCTGGTATGTGTAGGGCCTTATTTTTAGGAAGCACAGATATAGCCGTTCCTTGAACTTTAAAAATCATGCGAAGGAATTCTTGCTTTCCAAAGTGAAAGGTCTTTCCCACCCATTTAGGAGCCCTGGGGTCAGATTTGATTTTCACGCCTGGACGCCAGGTCTAGCACTGTCCTCGCTGACTAGGACTTTCCTACAGGATGGCCTCCAGTTAACCTTCCCGTTGCCCCTCCCCCAAAGAAGTGCACTGGTACTATGTTTTACTTTTCTGTCTTCTAGGTACTGCTTCTCTGAGATGGCCCCCGTATGTGCTGTGGTTGGAGGGATCTTGGCACAGGAAATTGTGAAGGTAAAAATGAACGTGGAACCCATCGCCAGCTCCCTGACTACACACTAACCGAGCCAAGGGCTGGCTTGGACCTTCCTGATCTCTTCCCAGCTTTCTTCCTGTCCCATCCACGGGCCGGCCAGCCAGCGGCCTCAGAAGTTTCCTCCAGTTGCCACTTTTCTGCTCTACCAGCTGTGTGGGTAGATGGAGATTCTAGATGGAGGGAAACATAGGAAACTCCCAACACCTGTGCTCTTAACCTGCCTCCATCCCGGTGGTGTCATTGTGTCCCGTTTGGTCCAAATGCTGTCGGCATCTGTAGAGAAGGTCTTGGGGGCATATGGTCTGCCAGCAGCTGCATGACGTTCTACAGTGACCTGCGACTTCCTGCTGTGGGCAGTTAATGTCTTACAGACAATGACTATTGGAGACTTGGATATTTGTCCAACTTTGTTAAATTTGTTTTACGTAGGGCTGGAGTGTAGCTCTGGGGTAAAGTATGTGCTTAGCATGCTCAAGGCCCTCAGCCAGTCCCTAGAAACTTGAGGGGGGGTCTCAGTCTATAACCCAGGCTGACCTTGAACTCAAAGTCCTTGTGGCTCAGCCTCCTGAGTGCTGGAATTACAAGCATGAGCCCCCATGGCAGCTCCTCTCTGTAGAAATCTCTTAGCCTTGTCCTTGTCTGCTGTGGACAGAGGTTCCCACATCTCTGCAAGTAAAGTTCCGACCACAGAGATGTTGCTCCTTCACTCCCGCTGACTGCTGACTGGCTCCCTGTCCTACAGTACTCATTTGCCCAAGCCTCACTGCCCCTGCACTGCAGACCTGGGCATCTCTTCAGATGGTATCCTGCAGGTGGCGCCCTAGCACAGCCGTCCCGAGACTGGTGTGGCACTGTTTGTCCTGGGGGTGGAGAACGGAGCTTGGGGCAGGTGGCCCGGAGCCATTGTTGGTGATGGCTTCTGCGCACCCCTGTCTTAGCGCTGCCCCCTCCTTCCTGCCTGTTGGCACAGCTGTTGCTCAGCGTCTTGTTTCTGTTTACCCCAGACAGTCAGCGCACTCCACATTCTTGGTTGCTGGGTGTGTTTGGAATCTCGTACCCCATCTTGTTGGGAGGCGCTTTACCTTTTGCCCCGGGTTCACCCTGTGCCCCTTCATCCCCTTCATCCCCTCCACTCCCTCTGCTTGCAGCACTGGCCAGCTGGCAGGATGGCCTGCATCTGAGGCCTGCTCTCCGAGCACCTATTAAAAGTACATAGGAGGAGCCAGAGTGAGGGGGCGAGTGTGAAAGTCCTACAGATCAGCTTTCCTTCCTCCCCCTCCCCCCTTCCCCCTCCACCACTGTCCTGGAAGGCTTCAGTCCTCCCGGTGGTCCATGGCTTTCTGCACACAGAGGTAGAGGCAATCGTGCAAACTGTGTGTTAGAACACGGGCATCTGCAGGAGACTGGACCTCTGAGCACAGGATTCCGAGGCTGCTGCCTAGACATGGGTTACCTCTACCTTAGGCTCTAGGAGTGTTCTGTCTGTGGCATCCTCAGACAGTGCTCCCGCTCTCCCCATGGGTAACACACTCCTGATGCTCAGAATATGCCCTGAGGAGAGGACAGGAAAGGGGTGGCAGTCAGAAGCACTTCCAGACATGCCAGTGGCTCCTGGAACAAAGGTTGCCTGGCCCCAGTTGAGGAACACTGGGTTAAATCACTTGTCTATAGTTTGGTTTGGACTGTGTAGGCCTAGCTGGCCTTGAACTCACAGAACTGAGTTCTGAGGTTTGAAGCCTGTGCCATCACCCTGACTATTGAACTCTGTGTGTGTGTGTGTGTGTGTGTGTGTGTGTGTGTGTGTGTGTGTGTGTGTGTGTGTGTGTGTGTGTGTGTGTGTGTGGACTGCATGCAGGAGTTTTGATTCTCTCTTTGTCATGGGGGGAGGGCACCAGGAATTGAATTCAGGGTGTCAGGCTCCTCTTGGCCCTTATTTTGTGATTTTTGTTTATTTTTCCCAGTTCACTTTTAGAAGGCCTGTCAGTTTGTTGTTGTTGCTCTGGTGTCTCAACACTGAAGTTGAGCCCTCTTGTGTCTTCGTAGGCCCTGTCTCAACGGGACCCTCCTCACAACAACTTCTTCTTTTTCGATGGCATGAAAGGGAGTGGAATTGTGGAGTGCCTAGGTCCCAAGTGAGCCTGAGGTACGGCAGCCCAGAGGTGTGTGCCGGCGTGCACGCTCCAAGCCCACCTGTCACCTGCCATCTTCCCAAGAAGGCATGTTTGGATTACAGATATTCCTAGAGCAAGTAGGCCGGACCGACCTCATCCTGCTTCTGTCCTAGCCACTGTCGGGGACCTGCCAGCTCTGGAGTACGACCATCGCCTGTGCCTAGACCCCTCTGGCATTGCTCACTGTGCTGCCTTTGGGGACTGACAGTGTCTGCCAAGAGCTGCGTCCGTGCTTGATGGTGTTGGAGTTTCTTGCACCCATTTGGACTTACTCCCTTCCGTAGTCAGCAGAAAGGAGCAGGTCTGCAGCAGGGGTACAAGGGCACTTCTGCCAAAGCCCGAAGGACCAAGACCAACCCACAGTTACTGGGCCTCCATCAGGCTGTAGCCTGGGCTGTGGAATGGCAGAGACTGCCGCCCAACTATGTTGCAAGTTAAACCTTAGTGTGGAAGTGTTCAGATCTTTTTTGGCTGTGGACCTATTAGCTTAACCTTTAATGGCGGAGCCGTCTGTCACCCCAAACTTTTTTTTTCCCCTGAGACAGGGTTTCTCTGTGTATCAGTCCTGACTGTCCTGGAACTCGCTCTGTAGACCAAGATGGCCTCGAACTCACAGAGATCCACCTGCCTTTGCCTCCGGAGTGCTGGGATTAAAGGCATACGACACCACTGCCATCTGGCCCCACATTTTTATTTCTGAAAAAGCAGATCCAATGCCAGAGACCATGGTGTGGGCCTGTGATCCTAAAAATTGGGATGCAGGGTCAGGAGGATTGCTGTGAATGTGAAGGCCACACTGGTCTACATAATGTACCAAGAACCTGTCTCAAAATACAAAAGGTGTGTTCCAGAGTTGGGGTGACAGCTCTCCCGGTTCATGGTCCTGGGCACCTAGGTCCTCGGGTGAGAGGGCTGGGTTGGGTTGGATCTTTTTTTGGGGTGGGACAGCTTGTCTTCTCTAGTTCGTAGATTCCCTTGGTTGTTTGTGAGGAGTGATAATAAAGTAATCATACTTGAGTCTCAAGCTTGCCTGTCTCTCTGTTGTAGAAACTTGTGGTTGGCTGGTCTCCCCTTTTCCCCAAACCTGAAGAATCTCTCTCTCGTGCTTCAGCACGCGCAGATGGTGATGTTCTGCCTGTGTGAGGAGCTCAGCTGTGTGGTGGCTGCTCTCGGCGGGAACAGCTGGATGAGGGAGTGGAGAGCAGAGTCCTGTGGCTCCTAAGGTGCCACCTTCCCTGCAGCCATCTCTTGCGGTTCCTAGCCCTTTGTGTTCTGGTTGGTGCAAACACACAGTTCCCGCCCTGTCCCCACACCCGTGCCAGGTGCAGCGAGGCCCTGTTGGAGAGGACTCCCCTTTCTGGGCACCATTAGTACAGCGCAGGTGCTGGGCTGGGGTCAGCAGTCATGAGTTTCAGGGAGTACGAAAAGGACAAATGACACCTTTTCAGTTGCAGTGTAAAGCCTTGGTCGCTAGGGGGAGCAGATACTGGAGCACGTAGAGAAACAAACTTCACCCAAGAGGACCTCTGGGGAATTGAAGCTGCCAGCCCCAGGCAAAAAATGTCACTAAGCTTTCAAATTCTCCATGCAGACTTCAAACTACAAGAAGTGGATATCATCTTTACGTCTCTGGGGAAGTTCTCAGTAAAGTGGTGGCTTCTAGAACCTCTGGAAGGTGCACAATTCTCTTGGGACAGAAGACCTGATTGTGGGGGTGAGAGGGGGCAAACTGGCCAGAACCACACAGTGTCGGCACCTTCCTACCCATCCTTCTCAAAGCATGCTGGACCACAGGCTACAGAAAAGACAAACCCACAGGGCTGGGCATGGCAGTGTGTACCTACACTCCCAGAGCCCAGGAAGTGGAAGAAGGGGACCATGAGTTCCAGAACCACACAGAGATACCTTGTCTCCAAAGAAACCAAAAGTCATAATAAAGCGAAAACTATCATTCGTAACGCCCAGACTTAGCATCTCTTTTGGCTTTTTTTTTTTTTAATACTCTGCATTTTACTGAATATGCGTGGTAAATGTGTAGGCACACACACCACAGCACTCATTCTAAGGTCAGAAAACAGATTTATAATGCGGCTGAGTGGTGGCGCACACCTTCAATCCCAGCACTCAGGAGGCGGAGAGAGCTAGGTTTCCGTGAGTTCGAATTCAACCTGATTGACAGTTTCACAGCAGTCAGCTACCCACTGAGACCCTGTATCCAAAAATAAATAAATGTATGCTTTTGCGGTTGTCTGAGGCTATAGTTATGTTCAGTGCAATTATAACATGGTTATTGTTTTCTTTTGGGTTGTGTGTCACGTTGACAAGGGATGAACTTGTCATGGCTGTTCTTGCGTGTCAACTTGGCTACATCTGGAGTTAGCTAAAACCCAAGCAACTAGGTATACCTGTGAGGTGTTTTACTTAAATCATTTGAGATGGGAAGGTCCGCCTTTATCTGGGCCACCCCTTCTACGGTCAATTGTGGGTCCATTCGTCCACCTTGTGAGTCAAAGGAATCAACTCAGATCATCAGGATTGGCAGCAAGCAGCTTATTTCGAGTCATTTCACAAGCTCTGCTGTCTTCAAAATCTTTCGACTAAAGCCTATATTTCCAGCTGCTCCTGAGGCAGGAGGATGGGAGTTCAAAGTCAGCTGGGGCTACACAGTGAGAACCCATCTCAAAGAATAAACAACAAAAATCCTCATTGCATCAGGCAGGCAGCCTGTCAGCCTGTCAGCCTGTTGGGCTCACTCATAAATCCAACAGCTGTCCTCAGGGCTAAACTCAGGATTTTGGAGAGAAACGTGAGATGCTTTTTGGATGTGTTGACGATACCCTCCCCCAGGTCACCCTCATAACTGTTGAGAGGGAAGCCTTCCAGATGGCCAAGTTCCATTTAGAATCGACCCTGCAGCTGTATGACCATGGGCAAAAGTTTTCGTGCCTCAGTCACTCAGTTTGTGTGATGAGCTTAAGAATAGTATGTTATCCCAGCACTCGGGAGGCAGAGGCAGGCGGATCTCTGTGAGGTCGAGGCCAGCCTGGTCTACAAAGTGAGTTCCAGAACAGCGTCCAAAGCCACAGAGAAACCCTGTCTCGAAAAACCAAAAAAAAAAAAAAAAAAAAGAATAGTATGTTAGTTTTGGGGCTGGAGAGATGGTTCAAAGGACCTGGGTTTGATTCCCAGCACCCACATGGTGGCTCATAACCATCTGTAACTCCAGTTCCAGGGGATCCGAGCCCTGCCTGATGCTCAAGTACCAGGCATTCGTGTGATACAGGGACAGACATGTAGGCAAAACATGTTTAAAATATATACACTCTGCCGGGCGGTGGTGGCGCACACCTTTAATCCCAGCACTCGGGAGGCAGAGGCAGGCGGATCTCTGTGAGTTCGAGGCCGGGCTGGACCGACAGCCTCCAAAACAATACAGAGAAACCCTGTCTTGAAAAACAAAACAAAACAAAAAAAATATATATATATATATATGTGTGTATATATATATATATATACACATATATATATTTTAAAAATAGATAAAATTTTGGTTGGGTGGTGGTGGAGCATACCTTTAATCCCAGGCACTCTCTCTACAGCCCAGGCTGGCCTCAGAATCACAGAGACCTGCCTGCCTGTGCTTCTCCAATGCTGGGATTAAAGGCGTGTACCACCACCGCCCAGCAAATACAAACTTTTTGAAGGGAATTAGAACTCAAAATCTATTCCCAAAGCCCACATTTGGTGCTAATGCCTGTACCTCCAGCTCCAGGGGGACCTGATTCCTTTGGCCTCTTTGGTCCCCTGCTCTCAGGAGGGTACACACACACACACACTAAAACTATATGTATCAGAGCAGCAAGGATATGCCAGCAGGTAAAGTGCTTAGCCAAGTCTGATGAGTTGGGTCCCTGTGTCAGGTATCAAAGAGTGCTTGTGGGAGCCAGGCGTTGGTGGCACACACCTTTAATCCCAGAACTCGAGAGGCAGAGGCAGGCGGATCTCTGAGTTTGAGGCCAGCCTGGTCTACAAAGCGAGTTCCAGGACAGCCCCCAAAACAATACAGAGAAACCCTGTCTCTAAAATAAATAAAAATAAAACAAAACAAAAAAGAGTACTTACGGGGGTCAGAGGACACTGCAGAAAATTATCTCCTACCATGGGGGTTCCAGGAATCTTATCTGCTGAGCCATCTCAATGGTCCCAGTTCAGTGATTTTATTTTGGATTTGTAAATTTTGTGTCTATGCTTGTTTTGCATATGTGTGTATCTCACATTTGTGTCTGGTGCTTACAGAGGTCAGGATGGGTCATCCGATCGACTGGACTTTGGGTCTCTGAAAGGTAACATGTGTGTGCTGGGATCCGAACTCAGGCCCTCTGCCGAAGCAACAAGTGCTCTTGTTGGTTTGGGAGGGTGGAGGGCACAACACAAGATTTGCTTTGTAGACCAGACTGGCCTCGAACTCTGGAACTCTGGAACTAAAGGCGTGCACCACCAACACCCGGCTAAAAATAAATCTTTTTTTTTTTTTTTTTTTTGAGACAGGGTTTCTCTGTGGCTTTGGAGGCTGTCCTGGAACTTGCTTGGTAGTCCAGGCTGGTCTCGAACTCACAGAGATCCGCCTGCCTCTGCCTCCCGAGTGCTGGGATTAAAGGCGTGCGCCACCACCGCCCGGCCTAAAAATAAATCTTTAACAAAAGTAGGCTGAACAGAGGCAGAGGTAGGGCAGATCACTGCTACATAACGTTGAAGGTCAGCCTGGAGTACGTGAGAACATTTTATTATTATTATTTATGTATTTATTATGTATACAGTGTTCTGCCTCCATGCATCCCTGCACACCAGAAGAGGGCATCAGATCCCGTTATAGATGGTTGTGAACCACCATGTGGTTGTTGGGAATTGAACTCATGACCTCTGGAAGAGCAGTCAGTGCTCTTAACCTCTGAGCCATCTCTCCAGCCCCCCAAAGACCCTTTTCTAATTATTATTATTTATTTGCCTTATTGATTTGCCTGCTTGTATGTCTGTGTGAGGGTGTCAACTCTTCTAGTTTCAAACAGTTGTGAACTGCCATGTGGGTACTGGAAATTGAACCCAGGTCCATCTGGAAGAAGAGTCAGTGCTCTTAACCACTGAGCCATCTCTCCAGCCTGAGACTCTTAGAAACAAAAGTAAAAAGAAGACGTACCTGGTATCAGCAACACATGGTATAAAAGAACCAAATAGCTGGGTGTTGGTGGCGCACACCATTAACCCCAGCACTCGGGAGGCAGAGGCAGGGGGATCTCTGTGAGTTCAAGACCAGCCTGGTCTACAGAGCGAGTTCCAGGACAGGCTCCAAAACAATACAGAGAAACCCTGTCTCGAAAAACCAAATTAATATTCTAGGGCTACAAAGCTGTACTCAGTAGACCTAATAGGATGGAGGTGAGAATCATTGAGTTGAAAACAGTAAGAAACTTTGTAGCCCGAAAAAGTAGGAAAAGGGTCAGCAAGATGGCTCAACCAGTAAAGGAGCTTGCGGCCAAGCTTAAAGAACAGAATTTGTTCCCCAAGACTCCATGATAGAACACAAAACCACCTGAATCTGTGGCGCGCTCTCTCTCTCCTGTCTCTCCTGTCTCTCCTGTCTCTCTCTCTCTCTCTCTCTCTCTCTCTCTCTCTCTCTCTCTCTCTCTCTCTCACACACACACACACACACACACACACACACACACACGAAAAAGAACTTCAGGCAGGTGGATCTCTGTGAGTTCTAGGCCAGCCTGGTCTACAGAGCGAGTTCCAGGACAGCCTCCAACCTCCACAGCTACAGAGAAACCCTGTCTGGGGGTGGGGGTGGGGTAGTTTTAAAGGCACAGTGCTTCAGTGCAGGTCAGAGAACAACTTGTGGATTGGCTCTTTCCTTCCACCATGTGAATCTGGGAGCTGAACTCAGGTCCTCAAGCCTGGTGGCAAGTTTCTTTATCTGCCGAGCCATCTAGCCGGCGCTGAACTTACCATGTTACATT